ATGTATAGCAGTAGGAAATCCGTATTTACGTAAAATGAATGGTCTATCATAAAGTGTATGGTATAAAACAAGAATAACTTTATTTCCATCCCATCCATTTCTAAGTGAAATTCTAGGGATGTCATTGAACTTGAAATTGAATTTGATAATTAGTCCATTATGAATTCTTTTCTGTTTTATACGAATTTCTTCTTCTTGAAGTGTAGTAGTAATACAAGTGCTTCCTTATCTGTTAGATTGTTCCAATTCCTTTTTTAACATTATCAAATAAAATTTTTTACAAATGAAACTAAAGTTAGAGTTTGCTTTGTCTATAGGTGCAACAACAAAATTTTGTTGTATCTTCCTAAGAGTCTCTTTGTCATAACCATCGCTTTCTAGTTGCTCTTTATAATATAAATTGTATAATTTTGGTTTCAATTTGTTGTTAAACTGTTAGTAGTTGTCATATGATATTATGCCAGTGCCAGATTTGTACGGTAGAATTCTTTGTTAGCATTACATTTCGACAAAATCGTCTTCGTCGGAGGTCTTTATCCACCGTGGTGTTAGTGAGAGTCAGTAGAGTCAGTACTTTGTCGCACCGAACAGACAGACGACACATGTGTAGTGTCTTAGTTTGTTGTCCTTTATAAATTCGAGTTTTCTTGTGCATACATGTTTATGATAGTTATCCACAAATTCCATATATTTCCAACATTCACAATTTTGTCTTTCTAAGGCTTCCATCGTAGCATCTTTAAACTTCTTAAGGAAACTGTTGTAATTGAAAAATTCAAGCCCAAGAGGTTACTCAAAGTATATCTTATAACTACTTTGATGTTATCAAAATTCTCCCTACTTTGTATATTGATATAGTTCCTAATCGTTTCTCGTAGTTCGGAACTATTACACACTTTGCTAAGGTTGAATCTATTATATCTATTATCAGGTTGTCCCATAAGTTCCGTCCGTTTTGAATTTCGACCGCAATAAGTCATGCACTTTTCATTTCTATACAGAATACAAGGTACCGTTCGATAGAGCAAAGCAAGCTCTACAAGATGGCTGTTTTGCTTTTGCACTAGCTTTGTTACATCTTGAGTTCCAAAGCGAAAACCAAAAAGATTCAACTGCCCGAAAAATCGATAATTATTCGTAACTCCGTTTAAAAAAATCCTACAAAAATTCTAATTTGCTCATGTAAACACTATCCATCTAAGACATTTATTTACGCCGGTGCTGTATTCTTTCCTCGGCTAGAAGTCACGAAAACGAAAATTTTCATGTTTTTACCAAAGTGATGCTGTGCTGCCCCTTAGTAGATAGTTGTGTACTATTAGCCTGCGGAAGTATAAACATAAATTTTCAGCTCTCTACAAGCAGTAGTTTTCGAGAAATATTGAATATAGCTTGCCTTACTTGAATGCCTTACGCTAAAATCCATATTTCTCGAAAACTACTGCTTGTAGAGAGCTGAAAATTTATGTTTACACTTCCGCAGGCTAATAGTACACAACTATCTACTTAGGGACAGCACAGCATCACTTTGGTAAAAACATGAAAATTTTCGTTTTCGTGACTTCTAGCCAAGGAAAAAATACGGCACCGGCGTAAATAAATGTCTTAGATGGATAGTGTTTACATGAGCAAGTTAGAATTTTTGTAGGATTTTTTTGAACGGAGTTACGAATTTTTATCGATTTTTCAGGCATTTAAATCTTTTTAGTTTTCGCGTTGGAACTCGAGATGTAACAAAGCTAGTACAAAAGCAAAACAGCCATCTTGTAGAGCTTGCTTTGATCTATCGAATGATACCTTGCAACTTATCTAGAAATGAAAAGTGTATGACTTATTGCGATCGAAATTCAAAACGGACGGAACTTATGGGACAACCTGATATATTTCCCAGATATGGTATCGTGATTATTATGTCGTCGCTATTATGTTTTTTAGTGTTCTTTCTACTCCAAAAAGGTGTTGCCACCAGAGAGTATATCTTGTATTTATGTTCAAAGGGCAAGTCTGCAAATTCTGGGGTGAATGTAAAGTTAATTAACTTAGTGATGTCTTCTTTATTGAGTGTTCTAAGATAAGTGTATAGCAAATTACTTTGTAATTTATTGATGTTTGTTATAATTTCATTTGTTCTGTCAAGGCACATCCCTCTTTTCTTTGATCTTCTTTTATTGCCTCCCTTTCTTGATCTTTTCACTGGACATCTGAAATAAGGATGGTCTTTCTTTTTTGAAGGATTGATATTATCCGAGATGTTTCCAAAGCCTTTAATTTGATCATTGAACCCAAAGGGATAAGCAGTGACCATATATTGGATCCATTTCATTTCCCTTTCCCTCAAAACTTTCTTGATATTGTCCTCTTCAATTACCTGGTCTAATATTTCAACATTAATGTGTTCAGGATCATGTCCTGCGTCATTGAAGTGGTTGACCATAAAGGTGTTTATGTTTTTTGAAACCATTTTGATGTTGATTTATTCTTGCTTTCAATGTTTGTGTTGTTTCTCCGACGTACTGAAGTTTGCATGTAAGATAAGTTATCATGTAAATTATGTTCTTTGAGTCACAATTGGAGATGTCGGGTTTGTTTGTTCTAAACGAGAAATGCGTCGTTGAGCTTCGCGAATGAGCGGTGAACAGCATTTTGTCACATATGTGGCACTTTTTTCTTTTGCACTGATTCCCGTTCTATCATTAGATTCGGGGTTGTTAACTAATCTCAACCGATTGTTTCCATTATGGCTGTCTGACACGGACAACATTATGCTGCGTAAAATCGTTTTTGTTAGTGGACCTTGATCCATTGAGTCAGGGGCGGTTCTTCCTGGACTTTTATGCAGTTTCCTTATCGAAGGGTATTTCTTGCTAGGTTAGGGCGAACCTCTTCATCGCCCGGGAGCGATACCCGTGGTGTAAACTGCATTGGATAGTTTATGCCCAGCATCACGTCAGGGTTTTCCCGAACAATATTATGGTGCGTCAGTCAACTTTGTATCTTTGAGCACAGCGATTAACTATTAGGTTGGCACGAAAGTTGTTGCGTAATTCAAACAAAATTCAATAGCTTTTCAAAGACTAAACCCAAATTCACAATCTTGTATGCCAAAAATATTAGAAGCCTTACGCTTCATGATGGATGTTTAAGCATAAGATTCCGTGAGCTGGACATCAAGAACGAAGCTCTCGAATATGGGGCTTCAAATTTTGCGATTTTGAATTTGGTGCCAGAAAATCGCAGAGTGCCGCTAGCTAGCCGAAAAAAGTCTGTAGAATTTACTTACACAGTAAAAGTCCATATGTTAGTTTGGAAGGCTTTGATCTTGCACGGTGAAGCAAAAACAAAAAATTCGTGAAATATGTCATTTTGCGGAAAAAATCCCCTCATGTCCGCAGTTTTCCGGCGAAAACACTTTTTTACAATCGAGGAAACGTCGCAAGGCTCTAAATAGACACTATGTCTAATTTCTCGTTGCAAACTGTGTCTCTGTGGAAAAAATAGAGCGACAAGGGGATTTTTTCCTCAAAATGACAAATTTCACGAATTTTTCTGTTTTTGCTTCACCGTGCAAGATTAAAGCCTTCCAAAGTAACATACGGACTTTTGTTGTGTAAATAAATTCTACAAATTTTTTTCGGCTAGCTAGCGGCACTCTGCGATTTTCTGGCACCAAACCCAAAATTGCAAATTTTTGAAGTCCCATATTTGAGAGCTTCGTTCTCGGGGGCTAGCTCACGGAATCTTATGCTTAAACATCCCTCATGAAGCGCAAGGCTTCTAATATTTTTAGCATACAAGATTGTAAATTTAGGTTTAGTCTTTGAAAAGTTATTGAATTTTGTTTGAATTACGCAAGAACTTTCGTGCCAACCTAATATTTGCTACTATGTAACGATCCTGAGTGTGTAATTATACATTATTTAAGTACTGGAATTTGCTTGAAATATGTCAAATTAGTTGCTCTATGACTTATCAATCTACTTAAGTTAAACAGTGCAAAGACTGCTGAGTTGTTTTCTATGTTATAATTAGATATGTTATAGGCACTTTTTGTTATTTCAGAATTTCTTTATTGTAGAAGGCGTGTATAGATATGAAGCCAATCATTTACTGGAACAAGGGTCCTCGTTATATATGTGAGCTTTAATGTTCCCGGTTTTTTGTTTTGTTAATGTTAATGTTTTATGTATTAGCTTTTTCTAATCATATTCATATCTAATAACTGGAATAAATTGTCGATTTTCATATGTTTTCAGCCTGGGTTTTACTCTAACCTTAATCATGCTGAATTAAACTGGAATCGTCACCACTTGCACTAACATTTGTGTTGAACTTCACCGAAAGACCTTACGCCTTCTCTCACTCTTAATGCGAGAGGGTGGAAAAACGATATGATAGCTTCAATGGTGTGAAGTGGTGTAACAGAAGTGTGGAATGCAAATTTGGAAGTCTACAAAGATGTGTTAATATTTTGTTGATGAAAATGTTTGATTTTTGTTTTTTAAAAGCAAATGTATTCAAATTTAGAATTATCAATAAACAAGTGTATATTTAGTAGAGATTTAAATATGTCTTAACTAACAAAACGAATCAGTTAGTAAAAGAACTAATTATAATTTTTATAGTTTTAGTGCACACAGACTGGTGACAGTGACCCTTGTATAGGTAAAATCCCTTTCGGGCATTAAATTAGGTTGGACATGCTTAATGATGATGAAGTAAAATTCAGTGAGTCTTATAGCGTATGATTATAATAAGTTAATATTCAGAGAGTCCTATAACGCATGTTTACGAGAAAGTCAAACTTAAGATATTACACATCAAAAAGCCTTACGTTTTTCCTACTCTTAATGCAAAGGGACGGTGCATCTGAGTTATCAAAATGAGACTCCTTTGTAATGATGGAGTTAAATAGATTGATATTAACTTAGCACTGGAGTTTAGACAAAAGGTTTATTATAAAAGCATTACTATGAGAGCGGTTGGGTTCATATTCAGCAGTGATGTCCGAAATTCCTAGTACTGTATCTGCCGCCCTGAGCTCCATACTATCGCCGAAATTCGATATCGGTGCACCCTTATCCACTACCTTCATGGCCCTGAGAACCGCCATAGACCAACTAAAGAAGAGGCAGGATAACTGCCAGAAAGAAGTGGAACAAATACGACATATGAGTCGTACCAACTGGCTCGTAAGTAAAATTCTGAATTACTTTACTGATTGACTAGTATTTAGGTGATAAATATGCCTCTCCCTTTTGGGCAAACGAAGTGTCAGGCTCTACAGCAGCTATTGTGTCAGTTGGAGTACAGCAAGCCGTTGTTCGACGCCAAGCGAGATTTACTCGCTGCTGACATATTACATGTAAATTGAAACAGTTTGTTGTGTAATATGGCTCTAAGTTTATGTTTTAATATGAGTTTCAGTAACGGATATTATTGCTTATAGTTTTTTGTATATCAACGTCACTATGATTATTTAATGTCAGCTCCTTTGCAAAAGAAGGTTGTTGCATTCAGTCAAAGACTGCCGAAAGGTTAGTACAGCCTATAGAACTGACATTATTTCACTATAATAACGCGCCAAGAGTATTCTGTATGCATGTCCATCTGAATTTCTGTCTGTCACGAAATCTTTTAATTGAAAATGCACAAAATGTAGCTCGTGGTGACTATTGTTCTTATGGTAGTTGTCAAGACCACGGGAAAAAACGAAAATCTATAGAAATTTGCGTTTGTTCTCTAGCGAAAGTTTCATCCACATGAAATGACCGGTTTCACACAAAATGTTTTGGAATGAGTAGTTGTTTACATTCTGTTTGTGCTATTCGGCATTGCTTGGTGAATTTCAATGCTATCCTTATGCGAAATGAGGAGGGTCTAGACAGTAGAGTTAATGCGAGCCTCTGTAAAGCAGTGATGAAGTATTGGTGCTTCATATAAACAAAAAGGAGTGATTTTGTACATTAGAAAATAGTAACTAACTTATTTAGAGAAATGGATTTCAATTGGTCGTGTACTGACTCCAAATGAACATAATGATTATGACCTTGCTTGTGCTCTAAAGAGGTTGATTATAGCTGAAATGAATCAGCGTCGTAAGGTTGATCCTAAATATTCGGTGATGTTTGTTCTGGTTTGTAAAAGAACTATACGTTTGAGAATAGAAAATTTTTTGTTTGTTTTTTTAGAAAATTTTTTTCGTGTTTTTCATTCAGTGAGAATGTTTATCAGGCCGTGGTTGCTTTGTGCATAAAGTGGGAAAACTGACTTTCGCTATCTCTTGTCTGCAGGGAGGTAATAGGCGGCACAATGATCGCGAAAGAGGCAGGGACTGCCTAAAATCAGGAAGGAAGCTGGAAGGGATGGACAGCATATTGTGTTGGCGCGGACTGAGCGACCCCGGTTGTGCCAATTACTTTTTACAAGACATGAAACTGTATCGCTGTTAACAATCTATAGTCTAAATTTTTCACTACGGAAGAATAGGAGAAGGAGTGTAAGCTGATAGACTTTGTTAACACTGCTGTAGGTTCATCATCAAACAACAAACAGGTGATAGCATGCTTACTGGCTAGCATGCATTTTTTCGCGATGTCACATAATTCGAACATGCAAACGGGTTTCATGATATCTGTATTCCCAACTTTTTTTTAGTTGAACAAACATGGCTGATATTTATATTACTGTCGGTCGTCAAGTGGTTCATTTCTCTTTACAGCCACAAGTTTGATGATTAGCATATGTTGACTTTTATGATGAAAATACTTCTTATAAGGATTTCTTATGTAAAGCTTTGCGAGTTTTGTGACCCTTCCTGGCAACCTTGCGGTTCAAACGCGTTCGCCAAGGTTTAAGGGTCATGTCTGCGAATGGTGATATGTACATAGGTAGCCTATGGAAAAAGAGTGGAACTTCAGAGATCATTGATGTAGTCGAAGAATGGCCGGTCTCTGAAACAGTGGTTTCTAACTGGAAAAACTGAGTTGAAAGCTGACCTTTGATATAAGATTTCGCCCTCTTGAGAACCTCAGTTCGTGGACGGCTCTGGAATGAAAATGATTTTTTCACGCTAGGAACAGATCCTATCTTTTCGTGATTTTCAAGGCATTCCATTTCAACATTTGAGAATATGCTTTGTGCTTACAGTATGGAGCTGCACAATAGGGGTAGGAGCTACGGGAAGTGCAGGCACTGCTGCTGGAAGTACTGGAACTGCCGCTGGAGCTACGGGTACTGCTGCTGGAGCCACCGCTACTGCCGCTGGAGCTACTGGAACTGCAGAAACTGCTGGTAAAACTATGGGTACTGCCGCTGGAGCTACGGGGACTGCAGGAACCGCTGCTGGTGCTACGGAAACAGCAGGAACTGTTGGTGTTGGAGCTGGGGAAACTGCAGGAACAGCCGAGGGAGCTACGGGAACTGCAGCAGCAGCTGCTGCAATTACTTCAGCTGTCGTCCTGTAAAGCATGACGTTAGTCGCATAGTGTTTTATGCTTTTAACAGGTTTTGTGTAATTGGGTTTCACGTAATTAGTACTCGGTCATTTTATCAGAAAGACATCAATGTGTGAAAATGACTGATATTCATGAACTGTAAAAGTAGCTAGTCTCTGACATTTTGTTCACTTTGTTTGCTTACCCACATACTCAAAACTGGCTTACCCCTTAGTGTTAAGAAGAATGATTAGAACCAAGTAGACAGAGATCATTGCAAATGTCATGCTTTCACAGACAACTCATACTCTTTTATAGTGCTGCCTTAGGTAAAAGTGCTGTTCTTAACCATAGGAAAAGCATCATTAGATTGTCTAACAATGCGAATTGGTTTTTGCACATGTTGTGATAAACTCGGCTTGCAACTGGTAACGCTTCTTATGCACGGAACGCAACTCTCTTGTTCGGCAATGTATTGCCTATCAAGAATTGCCACAGCTAGTTCAACATGTCTAACACTTCGCGATGCACAGCATTTTATTTGAGCAGACCACAACTACTATTTTAACCTTGCTGGGGAAAAAATCTCGCAAGAGCTTTAACATAACATCAATTAATGGTTACAATAACGTTAGTTGTAAAGCCGCGATCACCACCGACTTGCCGAAGTTTGCGTAGCGTCGTCATATTTCTATTCAGAGTGGACAAAATAAAGGCAGTGTCTCATCAAAATTTCGTTATATAATTTTTGCATATTGCATATTAGAAGTCCTTGCGACCCGGTCGAGACTTACGGGACTCAAAGTCTCATGAGATGCTCAAGAACCCTTTTTTGGGATGCTCCTGCGCAGCGCGGACGAGGTGTGCCTTCTCGATCTAGCTTTCGCCACAATGATAGCAAGATTGAGAAGGTGGGCAATGATGAAATCACCATTTTATAATTAAAATTTAGGCGTCAAACTACGTTTAACCAACATATTTTTATCAACTGCCTTTCTTGATGAGTAACGGGAGAAAATTTTTCATCTTATAAAAATGTCAGCTTCCTCCATTGGGCCATAACTCAACAGCATTATTGCTTGGAAACGCATCTGGGCTTATTCATTCAACTCCTTGGTTACAGCAAAGCAGTCAATCAACATGCTTCCAAGTGGCCTTCTCGCAGGTTCGTTAAAACATCTGCTTGGCGTTTGAGGAAATGTAAGTCAACTGCGTTTTGATGTTGAGGTTAGTTTAAGCTAGGCTATCCTTGCTAACTAATTTTTGCATAGCACACTTCAGATGCAAATCTGAAGCACAAAAAACCAAATGAGGTTGGCTGCTGCGTGACGAAGGCGCAATATCTTTGGACGCGAACGCGGCTTCAATAGCCGCAGAGAGCGTAAAAGCAGAATCTACAATGGCGAACGCGCGCGCCGCGTTCGCGCTCGCTCAGCTAATACTGCTTCTGCGCCATCTCATGTAGTAGTCTTTAGGTAATTGACTAAAGCACTGGATCCATTTAGGATATGATTTGAAAAGTTGATAGCTAATTTTGCTTTTGGTGTATGGAGGCAATATTCTATGTATGAAAAAATGCGAATCCCAGCTTGAGGTCTTTCCGATGACAACTTCTGTTCGGTTTGAGATATTTTCTAAATGTGACCATTTACTAACAAATATAAAAGCTCTATGTCTTCGGCTGGATTTGAAATGGGGTGTTATGATAAAGTTTAGGCAAAGTTAGTATACATTGTTTTACTAGCGACCCCGTTGAGAGGTCGGGGCTGGATAGTATTTGCATAGTTGGCAATGCATGTAACTTTAAACGGCGCTTTCATCCTTTTTTCTGAAAAGGTTTGGTAAATGAAAAAACAATCTTTGCTAGACACACAATGACATCAAGTGGTTTTTCAAAATACCAAAAACAAAGGTGCGGTGATCGTACCACTTGCGTTTTTGTTGGTTAAATTTAACCCACAATCACTCTCCTACCAAAGATGGCTGAAATTTTGTTTATAATGATGCACTTCTCTGCAACGTAAATTCTTTCAAAATTGCAACTTTTGTCGAATCCAAAATCGTGTGGAATACAAGGTCTTTTGCAATCTTATCAACGAAATCACAGCTTGCTGCTCGATTTAATTTAGGATTAGATGCATTTCCTGCGTTTAAATTCCTTCGAAATTGTGATTTTCACCGAAATTCACTAATTTTCGGAAAACAAGAATGTTTTTGCTTAAGGGTAGATGCATTTTCTGAAATTTAGATACTCGAAACTGCGGATCGAAAGATCGAAATGTGCGGAAAACAAGGTTTCAACTCTACCAACGAGACCACGGTCTAAATGTCTAGTCTTCTTTTCGAGAGCTGATGCATGCTGCATCGTGAACTTCCTCCAAATAGTGATTTGGACCAAAATACATCGAAATTATGTGGAAGAGGATTTTCCCTCCAGAATAGCAATAAGAACGGCTAAGAGTTGCAGTAATAGATACATGAGAAGAGGATCTGGGAATGTTAATAAAAGGTAAGAAAGGAGGATGTAGTTGATGATTTACAAAAAGAATAGCAGAGAAACACGCTTGACCATACCTTCGATAGTCTAGAGACAGAGCGTCAAAGTGAAGGTTGTTTTAACATCTGACGTCATAAATAGTGAAGGTTGTTTAAAGATGATCACAGAAGAGAAAATGACATAAAACAGATATAAAAAACAAAAGAAACTGTTGAAATCCGGATAAAAACGCAGCACTAAGGCTTGAAATCCTTCATTTGACGGCCTTTCAAGGTGCAAATTTTCGCCTCAGGACCAGCTACTCGCAACACGGGCTTTTGATTTTTGATGCGTCCTTTGCATTTTTACCCCCGCATTGACGTTCCTGTTTCCTGGGACGTTGTCTGGATTGTTGCGCTTATTGTTCTGAGCAACAAACGCCCAAGCTGGAAAAAAATCGAT